CGGAAGGCAGCTCGCCGCGCTGCACCTGTCGGAGAGGGCCGATAGCTTTCTAGAAGGAAGATGTGGGAGGAGCTGGAAAGGGTTTGAGAAACGAAGGGAAAGGTGTGAGCCCCACCTCCAGCTGTCTTTGGAAATGAAAGCCTAGGCAGTTGGTCAGTGCAGTCAGAGTTAAATGTTACAATATCGATTCAGAGCAAAACCCCGTCTCGATTTTTACCTCCAGATCAGTGGAAAACCCTGACCCAAGGCTCTTTAGCCGTAATTATTCCTGTTATGTTAAATAGCAGCTTCAAGGAATGATATGAAAAATTTTGTCAGAAAACCTTTAATAATCCGCTTAACTTAAACCAATCTGATTTGGACATTTGAGGGAGTGATTTAAAAAATTAGAAAGATTTTTGTTTCCATGATTTAATGTTCAAATGTTTTACCTTCCCGTTTCCATCTTTGTTTGTTTTTTGTTTTTTGTTTTTTTTTAAAAAGACTACTAATTATAGCCTCTTGAAAGGTAATCTAGCTGTGGCTTCCTCAGCTCTGTAGGTATTTTGCAAATTGAAGTATATATTTTAATATAAATATATGTTAATTATGTGTAAATATATATATATTTAAATATATTTTGAAGTGTTAAGGGCAAGGAGATTTATCTATAATCCCTATCTGCCTTTATAGAACCTTCTCATGTAGAACCCCTTAATTTCAAAACTCAATAATGAATGTTGTACTGGACCAGCACTGTACAATAGAAATATAGTGCTAGCCTACTATAAACTTTAAATTTTCTAGTAGCCACATCAAAAAAATTTTAAGAAGAAAAAGAAACGTGAAATTGATACATCTTACTTGACCTAACATATCCAAAATATTATCATTTCAACATGTCATCAATAGAAAAATATTAATGAGATTTTTTTCTGTACTAAGGCTTTGAAATTTAGTGTGTAGTTTACATTTACAACACATCTCAATTCTGACTAGCCACATTTCTCGTCCTTAGTAGCCCCGTGTGACTAGTGGCTATGGTATTAGACAACATAGTCTTGCACACTGGACCTACCTTCTTATCCTCTGAATCCTACATACCTTTTAGTACAGACTGAAAACCTGCAATCCTTTCAAACGAGCGTGTGAGATGGGACCACTTCGACATGGATGCATTCCTGTGACCACTTCTTGGTCATAGAAATAATTTTAACAATAGAATAATAATCTAATAATTGAATAATAATGTATTGAGTGCTTATTAAACACTTTTCATGTATTAATTTATTTAATCCTTTCAACAACTCTGTTAGGCAGACACCATTATCCCTCATTTTACAGATGAGAAAACAGGCACACAGATTCAGTGACTTGCCCAAGATCATACAGCTAATAATTGGCAGAGCTGGCTTAGGATCCAGCCTTTTTTTCTCTCCTGGAAAATATTGCAACAGCTTCCCTATTTTTCCAGCTCTCTAGTTTTGTTTTATTCTAATACATCTTTATCTCAGCTTCTTAAAACATTTTCATTATTCAAGAACCCAGAAGGCTCATCATGAACTGTTCTTACATTTTCTCAGACTTGTTTCTTCTTATCCTTTAATAGACATTCTCCAGTCTTAGCAAGCTAATCTGTTTGCCATTTGGCCCTTACAGCTCACTCATTCTCTCTTCTCTACCATTGCTCATGCATTATTGCTGGAAAGACCACATCCTTTTCAGCAAACCTATGCCCCTCTCTTCCTTCAAAACTCACCTTTCCTGGAAAGTCCTCATTGATTAACTCTACCCAACTCTAACCCCTTTCCCATCAGCTCCAAAGTACTGGCTTTTGCTGATTTACTTGTACTTGTTCTGTTGTTCTGTAGTTGTATTTTTAATGTTTTTATATGGATATCTTTTCAAGATGTACTACTAGCAAGAGCTTAACTTCTAATTCTTTTATAACTGTCAACACGGAGCCCTACACAAAGTATATTTCAGTTATTGACCCAACTAACCAAGTGATCAAGAAAGAATACTTTACCCAGTCTATAGCCTTTCATTTATATACAATTTGTGTGTCCCACAGAAAGCCACAGTGCCCTGCTATGTGAACCTAAGACTAGAGCCAAACTTCTTTTATAAAATCACAGAAAATAATTTTTAAAAATACTAGGGCCATAGACTTAATGGCAGCAGTAATTGTGACCCTGCTGAGGAAAAAGAGGGAAACTTACTTGGCCCCATCCCTAGTTCCATGATGCAGGAGGTTCCAATGGAGCAAGTCAAGAGTGAACCCAGACCTACTACCTACAACCTGACATAGGGGAAGGGAAGGTGATGTAAGGTTCCCATAAGAAACACTAGTTAATAATCTAACATGTGCGCCAGGCAGGCTTCTCTGAAGTAACTGAAACGAACAACATAAGTCCTCTTAGAAATTCCTTTCCCTCCATGGTGCTTCAGGAGAGGGGAAGTCAGGAATGTCTCAAAGTCATTAGCCCTACTTCTAACAGATTTCTAGACTTTTCCATTAGAAACCCTTGAAAATCTGCAAATGAAAAACCTATGCAAACTGTATAAGTCAATACAAAAAAGTTAAGAAAAAGAAAATGAATCAAAGTCAAAGTCATTTTAATCTTAGGCACTTTTGTCTTTAGTTTTCAAGTACTAGTCTGAGAGTTTGAGGACATAGTCCCTATGTTATCACTGACTTTATCTGTGACCTAGAGCAAGTCTTATTAATTTCTCTGCTTCAGTGTCCTCATTTGTAAAGCAGGTACATGCATAATTCATGCTTTTCTCAAAGAAAAGTATTATTTTACCGGTGGTTTGGGAATTTCTAAAAAAAAAAAGTATGTTCCTAATGTGCGAATGGTCATCATAGCAAGATTGGTAAGTGAAAGTCTACAGCCATGCTACTCTAAACAAGCCCAATCCCGTTTGATCTCGGAAGCTAAGCAGGGTCGGTCCTGGTTAGTACTTGGATGGGAGACCACCTAGGAAGACCAGGTGCTGTAGGTGTAAAAAATAAAAAAATAAGGGATTGTAAGCTGACAAGGTCCTTGCAATCTATGAGGTCAACCAAGGGTTGCCTCACCTAAAAAGAAAAAGAAAAAAAGAGAATGATAAAGAAATGGTGTAAAGGATATATAAAGGAAATGTAAGTCATTGAAAGAGATGTTTCAAAGCAAAGTGAATATAAAGGGAGCCAAAATATTCAGGCAGAAGGGAAAGACACACTGGCTGTGAAACATTGAAAGAAGAGAAAAATGTGAAAGAGTTTGGAAGACCATTATAAAACTCACCACATTAGCTCAAAGCAAAACATTACTATTACTGCTTAGCCTCCCTGACGTAGAAACCATAACCTTCAATATCAATTTCAAGCATGGAAGTTATAACTCTGATTTCACCAATATGAGCCTTACCTGCAGAAAATGGTAAAAGGGTTCCAAAGACCAGGGATGCAAAAAGCTGGAGAGCAATCCATAGGAAGCTGATGCTATGAGATCCCAGCCTCGACTCTTTTCTGTAACTTAAAATGGCTGTTGGAATGACCGTTGAAAATGTGGGAAGTAGATGGAATGTTGCCTACCCATCCTGTGTTCTTCACGAAAAGGAAGTAGATTAATTCCATATGCTTTAAAATGTATACTATACTGATGGATAACTATATATGATAGCAGGTGATATATATGTGTGAATGTCTATGAATATATATGTGTGTGTGTGTGTGTGTGTGTGTGTGTGTATGTGTGCATATAAATGTATGTATTTGAAGGTAGCAATATGGCATTATGTACATCCAAATATGGCCAAAGAAAAGTCCTCAGAGTTGGAAAAAGTTTTATTTCTCTTGGTATCTTTCCATCGGAAAGTTGAAAAAGTCATTCATTTCCACCTGTCTTACTTCCTTTCTAGCTCCTCCCCTTTTTTTTCAGTACTTCTGCTTCCTTTATCACAACCACTACCCCAGGATTATTTACCAATCCCAAGTGACTGGCAACTACATGACTAAACCCAGGCCTTTTGTTGATGATCTTCATATTGAGATGAGCCTATTTGGCTCTGACCTCTTATAAAGGGTTAGCCACTAGAATCTTGCAGAACGTGAGTTAGGGTGTAAAGCCAACA